CTCCAGCGGTCGGTTGGCAAGCGGACGATGTTTTTGAAGCCAGCCATAGCAGGAGCGAGCGAGCGAACAAAAGCGAGCGAGCGAGCGAACAAAAGCGAACGCGAGCGAGCGGAAAAAAAGCGGTCGGTTTCCGGTCGGAAAGCAGCGAGCGGTCGGAAATTAAGCGATAAGCGGTCGGAAAAAAAGCGATAAAAGCGGGAGGTTGAGCGGAATGAGTACTGTATGTTGCAGAGTTCATCCTGTGTTTTTGTCAATCTTGTTTTGAGTCCTTTGTTCTCTTCCCTCAGTGCCGTCATTTGTTCTTTGAAATCGTCAAAGAAATTACTCACATAGCTCACGCAAGCTTAAAGATCAGTAATACTGGTTTCTAGTGTAGTTAACTTTATCTACCTTTGCTGTAATCATAGCAAGTGTTTTCACAATGTTGTCAAACTGTGTTGTCTCAGATCATTGCTCTTCATTGTTCCTTTGTTTACCATTGTTTGCCGCCATGTTGTCCGATGAACTTGGACTCGTACTTATGGGAAAACGATTTGCTTGACATTTTTTGCACAGTTGAAGGTTGCCTTGGCATAAAGTTGTACCACACGTTTTACCACAATCCACACACTTCATTCTTGTAAGGATCGCAGAAAATGCTTGTGCTAATACAGAAATCTCTATAACGTTGCAGGAGGAATAAAATTGCGATGTCACCATGTAATGTCATGCGCAGTTAACCATGAACATTGTATGAGACAATTTGTTCTTGCCTCTATCATGTTAACCACAGCTGTGATTTGTATTTTTAGGTACCCCTCCATTTTAGTACAAACTGGGACAGTTACTATATGGAACTGATGATGCTTGGTGGCCTTATAGCATACTGTTTAAATTTCTTAGCTGGCAAGACTAAAAATCATAAACTAGCCACAGCTTGGTAAGAAAAAACTTTTGCGTTTGTTTTATGTATATTTTCTGTACTGTATGGAAATGTTATTTTAGCTCGTAAGCCTGACTGACCTGCTTGATGATCATGCACAATATGTGTTCTTTAGCAGAGTGTGCAAAAATATGCAACATTCTATTTCATTGGGGGACACTTTATACTACGACTACTACAGTATAGTTTAAGATTATGGAATGCATAATGATACCCACAATTCTTTGTACGCTTTGCAGGTTACAAACACATAAAGAGCTTTTAGAATCCAATTTTTCCATTGTGGGAGATGATGGACAAGCCAAAGAGGTGCAATCAGGAGTGCTGATGAAAGAGAGTGAAAATCTTTATGCCTTGTGGTGTTCGGGTAGGCAATGCTGTGAAGGAATGCTTGTAGAGCTGAAATTTATAAAAAGACAAGATCTAGTTAATGTAATTAGTAGATTTATGAAGCCAGCGTGTGATCAGTTGGTAAGTAACAAAAAAACTAGTAATGACTTCATCGTACTATTCCACAATATTGTTTTTGTGTATACATTATTGTCATGGTAACTTGTATTATTTACTTTTTTCAGCGAATAACTGTGAACATGAATGCTGAAGATATGGATAGTTTTGTATTTGCTGTGGCAAATAAAAAAACTGCATCTAGGCTACAGAAAGAACTACAAGATATTGTAAGTCTTTGACACATTAACAATTCTAAATTATAACTTTTAATTTTATATATCCCTGTTGCATTATTTATGACCGTATTGAGAATACAGCTAGTATATAATGTACTGTTGTCATGAATCGTGTAATATAAAATAAAGCTATTCATCTAAATGCTCAAATGTCATCTTTTGCTGTCTAGGCTCATCAAATCTACCGTAAAATCTGTATTAGAAGCCGCATCCCTAATAGAAGTCGCACCCATTCTTTTTTAACAATTGGGAACCAAAAAATCATCATTTCTCATATGTGTAGATGCTCTAATAGAAGCCGCACCCCCTCTATTGGATTGTACCATTTTAATAGAAGCCGCGGTTTCTAATACAGATTTTACAGTACTATCAATGGTGTACAAATAGCCCACATCACATATATTGCAAACTTTTAATATTCCACAGGGGTTTTGTTAAGAGCCGGCCATATGGCCTGCTACAAGCCCATATTAGCCGTCTACTTTCTGGCCCTCTACCGCATACGTCGGTCTCGCTGTAGCTCTTCGCACTGCCGAGAGCCTTTTTATTTTTTTTTGGCCTGTTATAGGATGATGGCCTGCTATTAAATGCATTTGTGAAGCCCCTGATTCCATAACACACAGTAACATCTAAAAAGGCCAGTGTTTTTTATTTTTTTTATTTCTAGAGTGTTTACTGTCCTGAAAAACGTAGTGGTGATAAATATAATTTATCCTCCTCTCTAGCTGTAGTTAGTGAACTAGGAGAACTCTGTAATGGCTTACTGGATAGTAAAGTGAGTATTCATTTCTAGATTCTCAAATGCACTATCGTGAAAACTGATGCACCAGTTACAAATGACTTGCATTTTCCATGTCTCAGTTTTAATTATCATCCGCCCCCTAGGTGGACAGATAATCACTGTAACCTTCACAAAATGGCTCTTTGACTTCTCTGTACAAACAAAATACCGGTACCTTTCACAATACAAAATAGATCCACGTAAGTACTAGTATATGTGAGCTGATAAGTATTAAATGCAATATACCAAGACATGTTATCAGATGTTACACTGTGTTGAATGAATCTTAATCTCATTCATTTTTGGTTCTCTTCTAATATCCAGATAGTGAATTGTTTGAATAGCTATGAGAATATGTTTGACTATTTCCACTTCTCAGATCAGTACTCAGGAGCTAAAATAAGTACTGAGTAAGTATTTTAGCATATTTTATAATGACATAACCATCTACCTGCCATGCTTGCACACATACATGTACATACATACATACATGCGTGCATGACTAATGATGCACCCAGTGGTCAAAAAGAAAGATTTTATTCTGAGATATTCTTACCCTTGAGTATAAAAGAGCACAGTTCACCACAATCAAGTTGAATATAAACTGAATAACAATGATTTCTTTTCCAGTGATGGTCAACCTAGCAAGATGCCAACTACGCAGAAAGTACTCATCTTTTGTTTTAATGGTGAGTCAACTATACATTGATCTTGTATGCACTGCCCCCACTGTCGAGAATTACATATTCTATTGTTTGTCTGAATTGAAACTAAATTGAAGTCGTATCTGCTTCAAGTGTTAATTTTAGTCTTGCCCTGTCTCACAAATTTGCCTTTTTATAGCCACACTAATAATTACTATGAAGCCTAAATGAATACTTTTCCCCTCACATTTGATCAGAAACCAAATGGAATAATGTACATCCATTTGAAAGACTGTATTTACAACCGGCTGTTTGATTTGTTATTACCATATGCAGTTGTGTTATACAGTTCAGCTCAAAACTTGCTTGCCTAACGCGTTTACTTGCATTAACGTTATTATTGCGTTAGGACCGTGCCAAAGCCTCATTAACGCATGTTGGCAGTGCGTTAACGCTAACAGCTCATTAATTTTGATAGCTTTGTTTGTATGCAAATGAGGAGAACAATGTTCTCTGTTACGTGATTGCATGTGCAACAAAGCTGAGTGGTTCTCAGTACTTGAATTTGCCTGAACATTTTACAGTTTTAATAAAAAATAAAACTACATAATTTTAAATAACTTGAGATGAATACGATGCAGTGTTTATGTATGCTCACCTTGTAAATCTTTATTATTGCAGTTCCTGGTAAAGGCAATACGTCGGTAGTTGATATGTGCAAGACTGAACCCATGATGAAATTAGTTATGCATTGTATCGATAAAGTCAAACGTTTCAGACTAACCAAAGAGGTGAGAAATCATGTGCAATCTGTTCACTACTGTAAAATCACTAATTTTCAGACAGGTCAGCTGAAAACTGTGGCCACATGTGATCTCTGGTCAATCAGAATTTTATACTTGCCAGAGGATCTGCTCCCCAGGGTAAGGGGGCGCATGAGGGCGCTGCACCCTGTTCCCTTGTTTAAAAAAATCCCTGCACATACAACACATCCAGCATTCGACTCAGTTTTCTCTAAGGTTTTGATCACAAGGCTCACTCAAGAAAGTTGTGACTAAATTTGTTATCACACGTAGTATTTGAAACAGAAGGCTAATAAGCCATTGTGGACTTGAGTAGACATGAGTAGAAGGCTAATTAAGCTGAGAAAACGCATGTTTTACTGACAATGTAAAATGGCATTTAATTAAGCGATACTGTCACATGTGTCGGGTTATGTGATTATGTGTATATTGTAATCCTTTATTTGGTTGAACAGTGAAAAAAATAGTCATTTTCAGAAGCTGTTGAATTAAAAAAAAATAAATAGTTGAATTATTAAGGGAGGGGTTTGAGTAAGTGGTATCATAATTGTAAAACTCTGTGTGTGTGTGTGTGGGGGGGGGGGTTGTTGTTGTAGTTTTATTTTATTTATTGTAAATAAGTAGAAATATCAAGGTGGCTTGAAAGCATCTGGGACGGTCATTTCCTGTTAGGTGATTGAATTGCTGGGAGAAATAACATTGTTTTAGCCAAAAAAATTAGTTGATCTATCTCAGGATTGTGGTATTGAAAGGGTATTGATCTTCTGCATCAAATTTTATTTGCCTGTTGATGTTGGGCCCAAATACCGGTAGTGGACGGACGGACACATGCATGTAATTTTTGCTTCAGCTATTAATATCATCATATTTTCAGGGTTTTATATATCACTGTCTTGGCAGTGTGATGCTATGTTGTGTGCAGTCAATAATATATGCCTGTTTATGTGATGACCAAATTTTATGATAGGGTAAATTGAAGGCTGAGAAATCACGTGCCAAAGTAGCAGAGTCATTCCTTAAAGCGTCTCACAGTCAGAGACAAGAAGCAGCACAGACACGTCGTGAGGAAAAACGTAGAGCAGAGAAGGAAAGGATGATGAATGAAGAAGATCCAGACAAACAAAGGAAGTGGGAGGTCAGTCACATTCTATTTCCATTTTTTGCACCTTGATCTGTGCAGTCATTTTATTAATTTATTCAGATTTTATGGAATTAATTGTATAATGACTATTGGAATGTATAAATTTGAATAAATGTCTTTATCTTTTTTAACCAGGAGCGTGAACATCGCCGTGAAATGAAGAAGAAAGCACCTAAAGTAAAGCAAATGAAAGTAAGGCTTAATTTATTAAATATTGATCATCTTTATTACCTATCTACCATATTTGTCTGATATTCCAACCTGGGCAATCTTTTGTAAGATAGGTCACATTTTCTGAGAAGTGCTGGTTCAAAAACATCACATGTTTTATTCACCATTTCAATTCATTATAGCCTAAATATAATTGTCATAACAGGGGTTGCAAGATATAAAAAGCCTTCAATTGGTTTTAACATGTCCTAAAATATACAAATTTTCAGAATTTTTTGTTACCTCAAGATTGCAGTACGATCATTGAAGTATTTAACACTTTTCACAGCCGCAAGTCAGAATGTTTTGATATTGCATATATAGGTACTACATGTGGACTTCTCTCAGATTTGTTCATTTTGTGATAATATCTTTAATTCTCTAATTTTGGTGTACATTTTCGAATTCTTTCAATCGGCAAGTCCGATTGTTTTGATACTATACATATTGTTCATTTTCTAATATCTTCAGCTCTTAATTGAAATGTGCATTGCTATCTCAGCTGAAAGGCTGCTTATTTCATGTTTATAATAATAATTTAATGAGATTAAAGCCCAAAATGGTAATGAAAAATGTTTAGTGACAGGATTCTATTTTTGTTGTCATAACGCTTAAAATGTGATGTAAATTGATACATACCGGTATTTTCTTAATAAGAAAGACATTCGAATGTGTTCTTAATATTTCATGGACATATGAATTTTTATTTTCAATGTATAATAATTCTGTACTGTTTAGTCTCTGCATCCCAACTGTCATATATATGGAGGTGATATTAATTTTGATTTATTTCTTTTATTTTTCAGATGTATTGAGTTGAGTGCCCATGTACCATGAAAAACCAATTGCATATTGGGAATGCAATATCAACCAGTCTAAAATAATTTCCTTAATTAAACCGATGATTCGAAACACTGATTGACATTTGTAGTAAATTACTTATATAAAATGTCATTTTATTAGCTAACTTCTTTGCACTACTAAAGTTGCATGTAGTTTTTTTAACTGTATCGATTCATAAAAATAAAGCATGTTTGTCCCATCAATCAGTGTTTTGCTGGTTGTTGGCATGTATGAAGTTGTGTGTATTTATTGCTACTTCTCCAGTCTGGTTTTCTCAAGAAATTTTTTTTTTCTCTTTATCTCCATTCCTGGTCTTGCATGCCCTAATCTAATGATTTATACTACACAATTGCTGAACAATAATTTATATGGTTTACAAGTATGTGCACTTACCATGGACACAAAAATAAGGTGCTCCGGAGATGTTGCATTATATAAACCAAGACATTAGTCTTATTTTACTACTTACTAATCTATATAACCAGTTTGATAACAAGAGCAATTATAAAAAGTTTTACTGTGTTATTTTAAAGTTTGTTCAGACACTCTTAAGTAATATGGACAGTCTCTTAGACCACCATCAACTACTGTAGAATACTTTATTTTCGCTGAAGGGATGATTCCGTGAAAATAAAATCCAGCGAATATACCTTTTTTCCTATATTTGACATTAAGCTCATCAAAAAGCCTTCAGCGAAAATTAATTCCAGCGAAAATAAAGTATTCCGTCCAAAAGTTTTGTAATATCGTAAATGAACTGCAACCACCATCTACATAATTTTAATGTCTCAGGGAGGGGAAGCGAGCCTTTTTGCCTACAATATAATTTTAGTAGTTAAAAATGCATAATTTAAGACACATAATTTTGTTCATAGTAATATAGCTGGAATATAACCATGTCAGGAATATGATTTTTTTAACATTAAAATGATTGACATTTGTATCTGATCGTCAAACAAGTACTTGTCCATATTGAGAGATTGCTCTGGAACAGCATTCAAAATCGGCCATTTTGAATACATGTATAACATGATGTATAATGAATATATAAAATTTGAATATAATCAGTCAAAGCATTTAAGAGATATGGCTCTAGAAGCCCATTCATTAAAACAAAATGGCCACCAGACAGCCATTTTGAATCCGATCTGAAAAATAAAATGATGTGCATCAGGAACCTGTAGTCTGTACCAAGTTTGAACGAAATCCATCCAGAAATGCTTGATATTTGATGATTTTTTAGCACAATAATGGCCACCATTTGGCCATTTTGAATAGGATCGTCAAACCAATATATCTGACATGATATATATATAATGAATATTTAAAATTTGAACATAATCAGTGAAAGCTAGTCAGAGATATGGCACGAGAACCACATTCATTAAAACAAAATGGCCGCCAGTCAGCCATTTTGAATCTTATCTGAAAAACAAAATTATTTGCATCAAGGTCCTATAATGTCTAACGTGTATACCAATTTTGAACAAAATCCATCTTTAAACAGCCGAAAAATGTTTGATTTTTATGCCATTCGGCCATCTTGAATCAGATCATGAAACAAATTGACGTGCATATGTATAATATGATGTATGTGTAAAGTTTGATTGTGATTAGTCCAGGCATTTCTAAGATACAAGTCCAGACGCTCGGAGGTCAAAACATAAGTCCCCGTTTTCAGACTGCGTCCGAACGGGGACTAAAAAACAAACAAGACTGCCATATGCACTATATAGTTGGTCCATTTATAGCAAAGTAACATCACAATACAGTTTAATATATACATATTTCAAGTTTGCACAAAAATAACAGCTTTTTATTTATTCCAAGAAAATCTTTGGCAGCATGCTTGCTAAAACATTGACGACACTTTAAACACGTGACCATGTCACATAAAACCAGCATTAAAATACATTAACAATTTTGTTCATTTACAGAAAATAACACTGTACTTTGTATTTGTAATCATAATTTCAACTACATTGTATTGATATAATTCTTGTTGCTTTCCTGAAAATTGACTTTGAAAACCATCATTTCTAATAATAGACTACTTCAATCTATAAATCCCCTGATAATTTCTCTTAGGTTGACATGTTGCTGATTACCACCAGAGTTGCTACTGGGACAGTATCTCCTAGGAGAAAATATTGTGGGATTATGCGTTTATCACATGCATATGTTGAAAGTGGAACTATTGCTGAAATAACACCAAATACAAATCTATGATTGTGCTTGCCTTTGGTGCTAATTTTGTGGAAACTAAAGTTTAATTTCATGTGAATGCCTTGTATATAACACGTGGCAATTATGCTCATTTGTGATTTTTGTTCCAATTCGCGAAGATTATTTTTTATTTAAACTGTTATTCAGAGGGACTGAATAAAACTTCCTAAAATACACGTAGTTATGAGACAGTATATAGCTAGCTTGGACAACCTTTAACCCTTGAACCTGAAACAGCAATATATAGCATTGACCACACGTTATAGGTCAAGATAAACATTTTTGAAAAAAACTGGTGCAAGTTGTTTTACAAAAGTTGCGAGAATACAGGCCAGAAATATTAAGTATGTGACTTCAAGTTCGGCAAATATGAAATGGGTAGGTGAGAAACATTGGTTTCCCTTAATTTTGATGTTCTAGTTTTACAGGAACATTCCTCAAAAAAAAAAATTGTGACCAAAGAAAAACAAAAAATTGATCCAAGCCTTCAAAGCACAAAAGCCATTGCACTGTCATATTTGACATGGGTCCCATGTGGCGTACACAATGTGTGTAAAATACATTGTTTACAATTATAGCACATGCTACGACTGTGGCGCTTTAAAGAAAATCAGTATTTCATCACCTGTCCTTGTACTATAATTTACAAACTACATTATACATCAGCGACTACTGCAAATATTATTATAATAAACAGGAAACATACAGCTTAAATTTGCAGATCACAGAACATGCATTATATTCATTTTATATAAAACTATGGAGTAAAAATATTTAATCTGTACACCAAAACAAGACTCGTACACATACAGTTTATCAATTATTCCATCATTAAATAATTATAAATTAAGCTTTTTAACAGTAAATAGTGCTGACAAAAATTTAAATAAAATAATCATGAATGACAGTGTGACAATGCCAGTTAGACTACAGCGCTCAAAGGTATGTGATCTGAAAATGAAATTACAACAAAAAAATAATAAATTAAAAAAATTATTTAAAATCAACTATGTTGCTAAGATTCTGTCTGTTGTAGATTGTTCATATCGTACGGACTACCAAGTGACTAATACAGAATGCAAGAAGTACCCTGCATACTCTAAAGCTAAAATTAAAATTGAAACTTAACTCAATAATTTTGTTTGTGGTCCAGAGAACACGCAACTTATTTGAACAGTTTGAACATTAAACAGAAGTCTACAGTTTCTTATTTATATAATTACTTTCATCATTGACATACTCAATTCTTGTGCACCATATACGTACTGGTATCAACAATTCATGCTAATAAGCGTCTGGGATTGCCAGCACAATCCATCATTACAAATCCATGACCCAAGGTTGTACATGCATGTCTCAACGTACGAGTTATGATGTCCACATAATCTTTTTACCAGATCAATGTAAAAATGTGTTAACTGTGGAGACAAACCACTGATGTTCAGATTGGTTTACAGATTTTGGATTCGGTGGGCTACGTTGAATACTAGTAACTGGTAGTCTTTAAATGTAAGACTGTCGCTAAGTTTGAACCCTGTGAAACACTTCGTAGTGGTATAAATATCAATATATAAGCTAACTACTATAAAAAGCACATGTCCATGTGAATCATACGTAACTACACCCACAGTATGATCTTTATGGCTGCGTTTCTCTACTTTCAAGAGCAGCTCATGTACAGTGTGTGCATGTGTCAACTACACTCAACACCATCGGAGAATTAGACATCATCTTAATCAATATAGTCACATGCTCCCAACAATCCTGTAAAAGTGGCAAATACAGGCAGATAATTGCTTTGGGTTCAGGAATAAAAAACAGGAATAAAAACATACTTTAATAGCACACACACAAAAAATACAACTTGCTCTTGATGCTTTGACGACACTGAAAAATGAGCTATGCAACTTTTATACCTTAACCTGCCCTTATTTAAAATATGCACAGAAAAGTATGCAAGATAAACATTAAAGCCTGCCAGAAATAAAAGCCTCATTTGATATAAAACAAAAATGTAAATACTATATTTAAACATAAATGAAACGGATTTGTTACTTTCCACCGAGTGATGCAAGATCAAATGTAACCAATACTGTTGCAAGAATATTAGATATAAATGTACATTACTCTAGCACTTACGATGTACTGTAAGTCTATTGTATCAAGTTCATTCTTATACAATACAGTTGAAATAAGCATGTAAATTATTTAACAGCTAGAATTGTTAATGTTAAACTCATAATTAGTATCATGTTTTAATTAGACACTGAATCTTTTTGCATGATAATTATTATTTCTATCAACATTAAATTTCGGCGGTTTGATATTTTGAGATTACTGAATTGACTTTTTAAATTCATTACTAATTGATTACTAACATAAATAAATTTAAGAGTCAGATTTTGGCACCATTTCTGAGCAAGTAAGATCATCCAATCACAGATTTGGTCTTGTATAAAAAAGAACAAACAATCAAGCCAGTCATAATTGCATTTGTACAGACAGTACCGGTAAAACAGACGCAAGCACGGATGTGGCAAATAGCAGTCCTATCTGTCCCATGCTTCTATAATAACTTTTGTTATACTTCTTTATATGGAGATTAGATATACCCCTGGTACAATGAGTCTGTATATCATCGCTGACTCAGTCGTCAACATGATACAAACACTGACAGAAATGAGGTCACCGTGTAAAAAAGTCTGATGACATGGCAAGACACAGACTGTCAATTTGGTCGAAAGTGCAAGTATTGGCCAATATAGTATAAACATTCAAATGCAGGAAAGTAATCTATATTATACTAGATGTAAAAGCAGCATGAGGCAGCATTTATCTGCATCTATTTTAAATTACCTAATACGTTGCTATGCATATCAAACAGAATATCTATATAAAAAAAATGAAAACAGTCTGTTATATTGCCATAACTAGATCGAACTGGAAAATCATGATTTACGAGTCAGTCGGACTCAACACGTGTAAATGACATGGGTGAGCAAAATACAAACAAAATACACTTTCCTATCTATCTAAAGGTGGTCCCTGCAAGTTAACATCAAGACTGTGCTAGTTGAATTTTCCTGTCTCTATAATGTATATGGCCAAACAACAGTAATCATCAAAACACCCACTGAGCAACTGACAACGTCTCTAGATATCGATAATACAATAATATCATATCTCAAAATTGATATCTTCTCTGGATAAAAACATGTGACAAGACAACACGCAATATAAATAACGAGCTTTTCATTACAAATGAACTGTCAACATTTGGTTACTGGTAATCCTTTAATGCAGGTGTCTTTTTTCATAAAGGAAATGTGCTATGCTATCTATGTGAATGAATATTGAATTTAGGAATGGACGCGCAGTTCACCGGTCAATTTTTAAAAGCAGTACAAATGCTTGATATTTTGAGGGAAAGGATCCTGACAAATGACAAATGAAAATAAAATGTACCCAAATTTGTTTCTATAGAAACAATGACTGATTTTTCATGTTAAATCCAATGTGGTGGCCATTTTTGAATGGAAAAGGACGAAAAACAAAAAATTTATGTTTATAGGTTAAAAAACATTTTGGGTACATTTTTTTATTCAGAATTTAAAACAGCCAATTATAAAGAGTAATTAGGCAAATTTTACGGAACGACCATTCTTAAATCCATTACATCAACAGCCATCTCTTGTACAGTAGGAGCAAACAAAGTATTTGTTTCTCTTGATAAACTTATTTCGTGACACTTATTTTTTTTAGATCTTACCAAATTTGATTGCAACCATTATAAGTATTTCATTGCTTGTCTCGTGTGTCATCACCTTCACTATAGTGTCTCCGTTTAGTTGCTCTCAGTGTATTGTCAGAGTTGTTTCTGGTGAGTGGATCTTCTGTATTGCAAGACTCAGTCATCTGTGATGTTTCAGAGTCGGCTCTTTCCAGTTTGTTGGCTCGCTTCTTTCTGGAATTGATGTTATCATCTGAGTGCCTTATTTTCATGTAATCCTCCGATACCGTGCCATTTCCTTCTAGTATGTCACTGTCTCGAGAGTCAGTACTGTTTGATGAACTGTGATCCTGTGATTCAATTCGGCTGAGTTTATTACTGGAGTCATCCATGCACTCTACCTGTTTTGGCCTTTCTAAATCATCATCATCATCAGCAAGTTCATCCATAGATTCTACTGTTCCCACATGTTTTTTACTAAGCGACTCATTCTTATCCAGACTATTCACAGAATCTGTTCTATCCAGTTGATTTGTCTTCTTTTTTCTGCCAACAACAAGATCATCCTTGGAATCAACCCTGTCAAGTTGCTTCCCTTTCCGTGTATTCTTATTTGAATCCACTTTTTCTACTGGCTTCTTCGAGTCATTTATATTATTGCGTTTGTGTTTTGTCTCAGTCCTTTCTAAAACCTTCTTTCTATGTGAGTTACTTCTATCTAGAGAGCCTCTTGTCTGGGTGTCTGATCTCTGTAAGACGCCCCTTCTTGATGGTTTATTCCTCAGCTTCACTGACCTTGAGTGCAGTTTAGTAAACACTTCCGGAAACTTGTTGTCAGGAAACAGTGTTTCTAGCATTCCTTCTAAGCAGACGTACATGAGCCTCTTGTTTAAAGTCTGATGTTGGAGCATTTCAAATACCCTCAATACACCTTTCTTGGTTGTTTCAGCTCCTATAAAATTCTTCATTTCATCTGTTGAAATGATACACACATAAATATCACTGCCATATTGTTTCGAACACTTTAAAATGGCAATATTGCCAGTAGAGTTGCTCACTCGTTTGCTATGAGTGACTTAAGATCATTATAACATTAGAATTAGGAAAAATGCAGAAAGTACTGTATATACATTTTGTTTAATTTTTGGGTTCAGATGTCCAATTGTCATACAGCAGTTTATATGATTGAATGAAATAAATTGAAAAGGCAATTGCATTTTTTATTAATATCAATGTGTTCCTGTAATGATTTGAGGCTATGGCGTTTAGTTTAGTTATTTGCATTACAGATATTGATACATTGTCATGGAATATATTATTTCTTCCCCCTTTTAATTTAACCGCTGCCACCATATGTAAACTGAGAACAGAATTCTCAAGGTAGATTGAACCAAGTGAGTATTGGTCACCAAATCCGGGAGGCGAATAACGCACTGGAGAGGAGCACTTGTAGCCATGGTGTTTATTGCTCAACTACTAGGCCTGGAACTGAGTCTAAATACTCACGAGATGTTCCATTACAATGTATCAATATCATTATGCAAACAACTAAACTAAACGTCATAGCCTCAAATCATTACAGTCCCCAAAATTAGTTTGATCTTCTTCTGTTGATGTTGGTTTGACCAAAGGTAATATCACTTACCCGGCATACTGGATAATAGTTTGGCTTTTGCAACTACCCTAGTTCTCATTCTGGTCATGTGATCTCTTTCTGGTGACGATTCAGCCTCAATACCATTTGGCCAAAAAGAATCCCTAGTGAGAAATCAATCAGCAGATGAAAATAATTAAATAATTACAGATATTTTGTAAGGAGGGAGGGAGAGAAGGAGGGAGGGAGGGAGGTAAGACAGTGTTGTTACACTAGTGAAGCAGTGGTCTTCTGTCATTGGTACTGGACAAGTGTAATAATGCTGGCATTTCATGATAGCAATCACTGGCATGCACTTGGTGCAAGGAATGTGCTGGACAAGTAGTACCATTACCGGTAATGTTGAATGAATGTATAGTTGTAGAAAATTTAATAAAGTACCAACCTGAAGACCTTAACGTATTCTGCAACTTGTTCAGCTGAAGTAGTGTACTCTACATAGTCAACAATTTTACTGTAATATAAATACAACCACATTTTTTATATTAATGCGGTATATTTATAAGTTTATAAAACAACAAAAAACATGATTTTCTAACCGTAAAGTAACTGCTAATGAATGGTTAATTTAATCCAATGCAACAGATTACCTATTAAGCATGTTTCCGAATGCTGCCTTGAAAATTTGCCTGAGAAATGCTATAACTCGTTTTCTCAACCATTGGTCACGACTTTTCAAGTCAAAAACTTCATCCATGAGCAACAGCATGATTCTAAGTGGGATGTTATCATCATCCTAGAGGTAAACAGAAACCATACACAAATACAGTCAAACCTGTATTACATAAAGACTACCTATAGTGATCAGTTTCAGACAGTCTCAAGGTATAATGTATGGGCAACCTATGTATAAAGTGCACATTACTTAGGTGATTATTCGTTCACCAACATTTTTGCAGACTCGCCTTTCTTTAGATACCAAAATAATAATTCCAATTTTTAATTTCCTCATCTCAAACATATTTGATATTGATCCACTCAAATCAATGTGTTTTTCATTGCAGTCGTACCATCTCGTTATTTTCTAGGCTAATCGTATCAATCATCAAGTTAATAAAGCTGAAGTATTACTCTTCTCCTACGTACATGAATGTAAAATGAACATATAAGACTGTAGAGGACTTACATCAGCTCCAATATTGGCAGATACTTTCTCAGTTTCCAAAAATTCATCTCTTGGTGTTGCCTGCACATAAATAAATTGTAATATTTATTAATAATATTAAGAAATATATAAATGAAAATACTATCCACAAAAATGCATGTTTTTGTTATTTTTTTTAATTGAAGAAAGGAAAAAAATATTTACCTTAAACATTTTATTGATTCCATCTGTCATTTTATCCGACATTTTATTAAAACCATCTGACATCTGAACCATTCCGCCAAAAATATTACCGGGTACAGACTTGACTGTGTGTGCTACATTACGCACTGAATTTCTTAAAGGATTCACAAAGTTATCCATCTGATAAGGAAATGCAACATATGTATGGTGATGTAATTTATCCAGTCAACACTTTGGTGCAACATTTTTCCTAATTTCATGTATTATGTATAACAAATTTTCAATAATTTTGCACCGAATTTTTATTGGGTATAGGCCTTAATAAAAATTTTGGAAAAAATCTGAAAAAAATATGCAAATTTTAATTTTTTTTATGGTAAACAAGCCAGCCTGTCGGCTGAGATAGCTCCGCTGTTAGCAATACACATTTCAATTAAAGAACTGAAGACATTATTAGAAAATGAACAATATGTATAGTATCAAAGCAATCAGACAGTTTTTAACAAGAAGTGGAAAATATCAATTTTTACCAAAAATGACAAAAATATTTACCAAAATTAGAGAATTCAAGATATCACCACGAAATGAACAAATCAGAGAGAGGTCTACCCAAGTTACATATATACACTAAGTATTGAAGCATTCAGATTTGTAGTTTTCAAGGAGAAGTCAAAAAAGTAAAACATTGACACGGACATCGACTGACGCCGGCAGACAATCACTCATATGATAAGCTCCGCTCGACAAAGTCGACAGTGGAGCTAAAAAAGTTGACATTGACACAAATATTTAAACTTATCACACTGTTTAGATATTTATATATCTGAAAGGTTCAAATAAATATAAATAATAAGGTACCTTTCTTGCAAATTCTCCTTTGCCTTTATTATACACACCTGGTTCTAAGAAGTGAACCAGAACTCCAAGCATACCTGGGTTATTGCCAAGGACATCAGGACAAAGTAAAGTCTACAAAGAACATACATTAAACATTATCAAAACTAAAAATATACTGTAAAACATGTTTTTTTCGCGAGCATGTCTTTTTAGCGAATTAAGCGAGAGAACTGATTCGCTAATTCAAGATGTCACTAATGACTTTTTTATAAATTCAAAATGGCCAAGGCTTGGGAATTTGTATACAGTAATCCGGACCATAAAAATCTGGGGTGCTTCCTAATTACGCATGACAGTTTTTGTATGTTTTTATGGAGGTGATAACTGCGCATTTATTTTGGCACGCGACAGACAAGTATTGTGAAAACGGGAAATCAACAATGAGTGAGAGAGATTCCCTAAATCAACATTTCGCAACATTTTACCACAATTTGCTAAAATTGCATATTGCTTTTTCAACATGTTTTACTGTAGTTTGCCTACTCACATATAAATATATATAATTTGTCAGCCCATGAACTAACCCCTATATTTAAAACATTTTTAAAATTGAAGAAATAGTAGTTTAAGCACCAACCAACATTTCCCCCTCTATGTTTTAAAGACAAATTAGCGGGATTGATGAAGAAGTTGATCAATACAGTAGGTGTCTTCCCTTCCAACATAGTATCCGACACCAAAGATAAAATATATTCTAAGAAAGTACAAAAGTACTACACACAATGTATACTTATTATTTCAGTTTTCCATATTGCCAAGTTAACCCACATGTTACGCTGTGAAAGAAATTGCAAAAACTACTGCAGAACACATATGAAACATTGTTTTACTTTTTTTTCAATGGTCTCTTTCATCAGTTATTAAATTCATAATAAACACAATCAGCAATATTTCTAAGAACATAACAATGTTGAGTACTAGCAAAGTTTTAGACCAGTACAAACACGATACAACAACTCACCTGTAAGTAAGAATCCAATGCTTTACTTCTTTTATCCAAGAATGATCTGCTCATGTTATTGAATGCTTTCTTGGCAGGTAAACTCAGACCAAATAACGATGGAAACTTGTCTTTTAGCATCATATGTAAATCATGAAAGTCACTGTAACGACGATATACTTCCCATACTTCCTCTGGACTGTTTTTACATGCACGTGTAACATGTATGCAGTAAACAGCATAGGATTTACCAGCATCCTTCAACACAGCTGTAATCGGAATAAATTAGAATAAACTATAAACATTGCACCGCGGAAGACTATTAGCAACATACCATAAATACTTTCTGTAAAAACCACACTCATTTTATGGTCAATGATCAGATATATATTATTTTCATAAAAATTTTTTAAAAAGTTGTAGTTCATCTAAAATTAGTTATGCAATGAAATATCAAACAATCATAATGTTTGTTGTAATGGGATGCAGTCTTTATTCAGGAAATAAAATAACTAACACTGGGGAAAAGATATAACGTCAGACACCCCAGACATAAAATATAATTTAATGTAGAAAGCTAAGAAAACTAGAAAGGTTGCTATTAAAAATATCGAAAGATTAAAAGCTTGGCTAAAATCTGTAAAGTAGCAGAGGAGTGAATGCTATTATTAAAAAAAAAAGGTGCTTAGAACATAGAAAACAACAAGGAGTATCAAAACTAAGAATACCATTTTAATAAAAGATCAGGGCAATTATGATAAAAAAAACATGGACTTAAAAAGCAAAATGATGCATCTAAAAAATTTGTACACCCTACAAGTAAAGGAATTTCAAATAGTTCTAGTATAGACAACGATACTTTTTATATGCCTATATTTTACAATGACGAATTGAAAATTTACTATTAAATCATTGAATAATGCTTATTAAAAATTACCTGTATTTGTAATGGAAGCTGTCAGTGTATAATGAGCATGTTTTGGTAATTCTGATGATAGATGAGATTCTTCTAAAGAAGACGACAACAAGTCTTCAGTTGACTGAAATATACAACAAAACAATGTGAATATGTTATGTGTGATATGTTATGCGGCTACACAGATGTATGAATGCGCTTGTGTATTAACAAAACTTTATTGTCAAGTTCTTTCAGATAAAGAAATCAAACTCCATTATCTCTTTGGGAAAAGGCTCGAATTTTGACATCACCTCAGTTCCCTGTGTGTGGGAAACAATCTAAAATGATTACCGGGGTAATATATTGTGTACACAAAGAACTTACCCCTGTTAGACTATTCGATGGTGAGGAATCTGCAGAGTGCATCGATTCACGGTCATTTATCTTGGGACTGTCGTCTTTCAATAAATCTAACTCTGCTAAACATTTCACATACAGTGCACTAAGTTTGAAGGCAGGGAAGAACTTATCACCTTGGAGTATATCATAAACCTGTAAACGAGTCATACAATCAAGGTTACGTTAATGTGCAGGTTGAGCTTGTATGTTAAGACTGCTGTTACTACTTTGAACTTCTTTAAATTCAGTAAGTTTCAATCAAAAGTCAGTAAAAATCACAAAATTTTGTAGCAGCGAAAATTTCTTTGGGGTCTTGCATGTCAGCGACTTTTGTGGAATTGTGTCTTCAAGAGTACCATAAAATTCCTGGCAGTGAAAATTAAGCGTGATAACATCTGTGCTTCATTTTATTTTATACTAACACATTAACTATACTTAAACTATAATCATCAAATATTTACAAACTATTATTTTATTCAGTATCACAGATTACATCAAAGTAGCTGTGACAATCCTACCTTTCTCTGGATTTCATCAAACACACATTCTGACGGGGCTCCATTTCTGATCCTCTGATTAGTTCTTTTCACGAGTTGGTCATCAAGATTAAGTTTATAAGATGCCTGCAGGTTAATCAGGTGACAACTTATTTAGAAAGTTTTATTGTTTTGTATATTTTGTTGGTTTTGATCAAGGTGGAAAATGTGAAGATCTTGATCGGCATACCAGTTTTACCTCAACACAAATAAAACATTTCCAAAGCATTATTGCGGCCTTGAGATTATTGTGTGAAATATTTGATGATATAATAATGTGTGAATTGTATGAAATATGTGATGGTACATATATGTGAGAATCGATATACGTGAAATATTTGATTGACAAAGATTCACCTTGTTCAGAATTACTGAGGGTCATCTATACTGAATCCATATACAAACAAACACTAGTCAAAAGCTTTGTGTAACAAATAACCAAATAAAGACCAAAATTGGAATGTTTAATTAATATTTCATGCAAATGCAGAAGTTTTAATATTTTAAACAATACTACATGTGGTAGTCCCAAAATTCCAATAAAGCTGCTGGAATATCTTATATTGAAGCTTCAATAAATCACAGTTATGAAAGGATTATGTGGAAAGTTGGAAAAGTTATTTGTATATATAACAGCAGTTTGTTTTTGAATTTACAAATACTTATTTTAACACAAGATATACTACAAAGTTGAGACACTGAATAAAAAGGATTAAAAACAGTTTTATCTGCTGTTCACAAAGTTATTACACTCTTTACAAAATGTATAATAATATAATATATATAAAGAGTTTGGACTTACATTGTCTGATAAGTACTGTTCAAATATATTAAGTGCAGCAGCTCTTAACATTTCTGGATCTGAACCTCCATAACCAGCAGCTGCGGCTCCTGTAGATTCTGATTCTGCTTGTTGTAAATGATACGCTGACAACTGCTGCTCTGCTGTCACTTTGTAACTTTCAATTGTTAACCAGAAAAACAAGTAGCCTTGCCCTCCAACTTGACCAATAAATTCTAAAAAAGGGAGCAACGATTTTGAACTATAGCGCCCTCTAATAATGCTTTTGTTTTTATTAAGGTGTCTCAACGTTATGCACTAGTCAATTAACATCTCCAGAACAAGTCCCACCATTCCCAACACCAGGAGCATATTTTGGCGGCACATACCGCCACCTCAGAGAAGCACACAAGCCCCAATAAATTATACACTCTCCTGACATATCATAACCCAGATATTTCAATTCTTAAACATAGTTCTTTAATAGTCACACAATTTACTAGATCTTGTGTATATGGTACACTGTTCGGACCTCAGATCCAATTGATTGCATTGATTGAAACATCCTAATAAAAACAAAATCATTATAAGAAGGTGCTACATTTTAAATTTCAATTGACTGGTGAATTAGTTGCAAATGGCCACAGTCCGCAGGGGTATGGTTAAGGGTGAACAACTAGAGTTGTTTCTGCCTCCTAAATAGCTCACCCCTCAATCGTGCTCACTGTTCCAACATATCCATGGTATTTAGAACACTACAATGACAAGAGACAATGGAGCACTGTTCGAAAAGGGAAAAACAAGTCTCATGGTTTTCTCACTCTCTGCGGCCATTTCCATCTAGGGTATACAGTATTATGAGTTGCACTGCCGATAAGCTGATGAGAATGATACTACTTACCAATAAAATATGATAAAGCAACATTATTTTCTAGTACCACATCTAATGGTAGTGAATACAGACTCTGTCCTGGCAGTGGAGAGAGATCTGGTTCCTGCAACATAATACAACAATCTAATAGGTACACCTGCATCATATCAATTGGAGCCAGCAGCAATGCTGCGTTCTCATTTGCACATATTAGCTAAGCTGCCTAAATCTTAACCATGATACTGAGATAGTACAAGCAGAACAAGGGCTACAACATAATAATGATGTTACGATCCCGCTTTTGGCCATAATAATGATATATTTTAGCCAAATGTATAATTCATATTTGTGTACAATGAGAAAGGAGGCAGATTGTCAACAGAAGTTAAAGCCAACTCATATGCACACATGTACTTGTCATACCGGTAAATGCATGTATGCAAACAAAGATGGTGAAGCGCAGAGACAACTTATTGTTGCCACATATTAAAATATAATTTTCAGATGAAAAGATGTGGAAACCTCACTGTTCTCCTAAACACTAGGCCCTATAGAGACGTCCATGCAAATGACCAATTGTGATGATGTACTTACAGCTTTCAATAGGCTTTTAACAGCCTAATTGTATGGTTGTACAAAACAAAATAAAATATAAATGAAGCAAAAAATGATGAATGATTAAATTTATTAATTAATAATAACTATAAAATTGTTAATTTAGTGAACCAATCAGTGCAGTCCCTCAAAGATAAGTTATTTTTCAGTGATGAAAAGTTTGTTGAGAAATAAAAAAAAAATTAGCAAATCCAAATTGCCGACATGTGCAGAGCTAGATGCAACAGGTGATATTCAGTGCAGGCATGCCATCTGACGGTGCCAAAACAAGCGATGAAACTGAAGTTCTTCAACCATCTACCATGCAAGCAATGAACAAATGTGATTGCATACAGTAAAGTTACATTTAATAATATACAATCTGTCATGACATGAAATCATGCAAGTGACTATATGAATGCATACTTACAGCTTCTATAGCGGCATCAAGATTTCCTTCCAGTAATCTTTGTAATGTTTCTAAGCAAACTCTTCTAACATATTGTAGACTATTCAGCTGCATTTTAGTGTCTGAGTCTGGATAAAATAAGATGCAGGTTATTGGTAGCAAACATTAAATCTCATATTTTACAAAAATTTCATACACGATTAATTATCACAAAAACGCACAGAAAACATTACATGTTATTACCATGTACTACATATTATTATTCAGTAGCTGTGAACTTGATGAATTTATTTTCTTTTAAATATTTCTCAAGAACATTTTGGACCAGGCGTTTCCTGGCTTACATTATCTAGTGAATATCTACTGCTAATGATGCAGCCTTATATAAATTAAGACAATTTTGAAATGCCATCACTTGTATCACATGTATTATTATATAAATACTCTTTTTGGTCTGCAAAGAGTAAATAAATCTATTTTTGTAACTCACCATCAGTGCTGGAATCTCTTGATCTCTGTATACTGATTTCATGGTCTAATTTTTCTATAACAGCCTCTAATTCACCAATACTGTCAGATATCTTGATTATATTTAAAAAATAATCACTGGTGATATTTGTCTCTTTGCTCTGTAAAAACAGTTGGATAAAAGATGTATGTAAAGAGGGGGGAAACCCTAGTAACACCCCTTTGAAACCACGAGATAGATAGTCGTGTTTTATAAAGTAAATGACCTATCCTGGTATTTTTACAATATTAGAAATCACTGTGTACTGGAAATCAATTCCACTGCGATGGACTGAGATCATAAATTTACTCGCAAAACTGATTTTAACATCTCACAGAACAAAGCCATTCAGTACACCATTAAGGTTATAGGTTTCACACCACAATTAGAATTGGTATCAAGGCATTGGCACTTCTGAATATAATTCTATTTTGAAACAAGCAGAATGTCGGCTGAGATAGCTCCGCTGTTAGCAAAGAACTGAAGATATCATTAGAAAATAAACAATATGTATAGTATCAAAGCAATCGGACTTGCTGTTTTTAACAAGAAGTCGAAAATATCACTTTTTACCAAAAATGCCAAAAATATTCACCAAAATTAGGGAATTAAAGATATCATTACAAAATGAACAAATCTGAGAGAGGTCTACATGTAGTACCTATATAGGTAATATCAAAGCAATTGGAATTGGTTTTTAACAAGAAGTCGAAACTATCACTTTTTACCAAAAATTACAAAAATATTCACCAAAAATAGAGAATTTGAGATTTTGACATGAAATGAACAAATCTGAGAAAGAACCATCCAAGGTACTTGCAAATCAAATTTGAAAACATTCTGACTTGCGGTTTTGAAGAAGAAGTTGAAAATGTAATGTTGATGACGACGACCGACAATCAGTAATATGAACAGCTCTGCTGTGTCGACTTTGTCGACAGTGGAGCTAAAAACTTATTTCAAACTGTTTCATTTAATACCAGAATAAACAAGACCTGACATTTGTAAATGGAATTTTAGTGAAAACCAGCTGGTTTTGAAATGGTGATCGATATATTTAGAGTGAGCACTCACTCGGTCAACTTTTCTAATACTGCCAAATATCAGTGCAGTTGAAATGGATTCAATTTCGGATGTTCAATAATATGATGATGCTATTTACTATTTTATTTTAAAATACTAGACAAATGATTTGTTTTTAAATTCTAGGTATTGGACTCAAGTTTTTACATTGTCATCTATGAGGAATTTAATTACATGTACCGGTAATGTGCTACTATACTGTTAAAAAACACAATAAGGATAATACATTTTTGTATAATTATGTTCAGGTATATACAAAATACCGGAGGAGTGCAGGTCATATCATGATATTAGAATAGGAAACATTCACCCATACATGTATTTAAGAAATATAATTTTTGACCTTGTACATGGAAAGTTCACAGACATCGGGCCGCAATAAAATTTAGAATTCATACTGCAGTCCGTAATACTTTACTGAGACACAAACTAATAATGAAGTGTAGTTGTGTTAAACCCATTCCACTTACCAGCCTTTTAATTGTTTGGTTTATGTAATCAGGATGATGTGTGGATGTGTTAAACCCATCACACTTACCAGCCATATAATTGTTTAGTTTATGTAATCAGGATGATGTGTGGATGTGTTAAACCCATCACACTTACCAGACATATAATTGTTTGGTTTATGTAATCAGGATGATGTGTGGATGTGTTAAACCCATCACACTTACCAGCCATATAATTGTTTGGTTTATGTAATCAGGATGATGTGTGGATGTGTTAAACCCATCACACTTACCAGACATATAATTGTTTGGTTTATGTAATCAGGATGATGTGTGGATGTGTTAAACCCATCACACTTACCAGACATATAATTGTTTGGTTTATGTAATCAGGATGATGTGTGGATGTGTTAAACCCATCACACTTACCAGACATATAATTGTTTGGTTTATGTAATCAGGATGATGTGTGGATGTGTTAAACCCATCACACTTACCAGACATATAATTGTTTGGTTTATGTAATCAGGATGATGTGTGGATGTGTTAAACCCATCACACTTACCAGCCATATAATTGTTTGGTTTATGTAATCAGGATCTGTAATCATATCTATCATTGGTTTCAGCATTCCACAAACGATAACTTCACGTAATAAATAACGAAATGGTTTGTTATGGAAATCTTGATGGGGTAGCATCAGAAACAGTAACATGTCAGTCACGTCTCTCAGGTATTCTAATAAAAAATAAAATAAGATAAAATTTCAAAAATCATCCGCAACCCAGGGCTACAAAATCACACAAGCCAGTTTATTGTGTGCTGCATTATTAAAGAAGAACTTATTTCAACCATTAACAAGCCTCTGTCATTTTATGCAAGTGCATGTGCTACTACCAGATTCTGCGGTAAATTCGGTAATACTGGGGGGTAGTCAGAGAACAGATCTAGTACCATATAATGCACTCACATCTGAATAGCAGAAAATACTCACCTAATTCAGCATTTTCACATGTGCACACTTCATCTCTACATTTGTTTACTTCCATCTCCACCTCAATGTCAAAGAACAGTGATTCTAACTCATTGTCACAACTTTCACTTTGCTCTGAAATATACCAATCAATTGTGCATCAGTATGATCATTACAAATACCTTAATGTTCTAGTGAGGGACATACATATACTTCAACTAAAACTTGTTTCAAGGAAGAAATACCCTCTATAATGTCTTTTCTCTATGTACATGTATATCTATTTGTAGTAGAAGGCAATGATTTGAGCTGTTGTTATGTATGCAATTGGATTTTGATAATCATACATGTAACTACTCTGATGAGAATGACCAATCACAAAAATACTTTCTTCAAACACTGACAATTATCTAACAGTGTATGATGGCCCATGATTTTTATTATTATTTCATGAGGCAGAATCCAAATTCTCTATACTAAAAATATTAACAAACACTACTAGTGACAATATATTAAAATTAAAAAAGATTTTTAGCAGATTTAACCATGTGACTTTCAAACTTCCAGGGTGGACATGTTTTGTGTTCTACACTGCATACCATATACAGAATGGCAAAATAAAATGCAATGAACCATCAGTTCAGCCAACTTATGTCTGCTATTTTATGTGTTGTGCATTTTTCACCCAATAAACCTTACCTTCACCTTAACCTTACCTTCAAGAGAGCGATGCGCTTTGCTCAGTTTCTCATGAGCTTTGCGGAATAACCTCAGGTGGGAGGCAAAGTCATCAACTAACTGCCTCGTAAGATATGGAACCCATTCAACTTCTTTTGATCTGCAGAAAAAGCCATAATTATTATGATTCATTAACATTGGTCAGTGTGACTACTAGCACAGCTTTCTGAACAAAAAACGAACCATTATGCAAGTGTCTATGAAGTGATAAGTAGAACATGATAATAATGTCAACCACTTCATTCATATATACACATGTTTACCTGTTACTAAATGCAATAATCACACTCTGTGTTGTTTGTCTCAAATAATGTAAAAATTCTTCATGATCGCTGATTTTACCATGGTACCAGGTCTGTACATAGTATCGAAATGCTAACTGCAAAACCTGTTGCATTACAAAACAAAATACACAATATTAGTGAAAAAAGACTGATCATGATGCATAAGGGATCATTTTGGAGCATCAGAGCAGCAACGTAATGTTGACGATCATAGCATACTGTATAGGCATTTATTATTCACTGGGTTTTAATTTCGCTATTTTCGCTAATAAGTAAAATCCGCTAAATTAAATCCATCTGAACATGTAAAATAGCTAAAGAACTCATTAATTCCTTGACAAGTGAATTTGCTAAAAGCATTAAAATAGCAAAATTATATGTCATAGTAAATAATAAGTTTTACGGTATGCCGTAGGGGGCTTTCATATAATATCTACGCTGAAATCAAGTACTGAAAAAAATATATTGTCAGAGTTCCTAAATTCAACACATAAAACATGTACTACCGATTGCTTGCTTATAATATTGGTTCAGGTGAAAAATACTATATAAATCACAGGAAATCATTACATTTTGTATCAGTGAAAGTTTGACTGAGTTTTAATCACAAACCCTTTAAATTATTGAAAACAAATTTAGTGGTGAAAATATCATTGTATGAATACAACAATTTTGTATATAAAGCCCACTGTAGCTAGATACTTTATCCTTGACAATAAAGATTACCGGTAGTTAACTTTGTCACTATTCACAAATTTGTAATCTATTTAATTTTTTCACAATTTTTTTCAAAATTATGTGTATTTGTCAAAACTTATTAAAATAAAATAGAAAAATACATAAAAACTGGCAAACTTTTGCACCAAACATTGCTAATATAACATTTTTGGGAGTCCAAGGTCACTGAGGTCCTTAAAACAGGAGTCATTATGATAATGATTTTCGTGAAAAAAATACATTGCAACTTATACATGTACTGGACATACATGTACTACACAGTTACAGGTAATTTTATGAAAGTACTGAAAAAATGGATTAATCTGTTAAAATAAACAAGTTTTATAAAACATGTCCATGTAAACACTCTTGTTATGAAATAACGAAGATTCCAAGCAGCAAAATTTTAACAATTCACAGTTTAATAAGTAGATACATGTACATTTTGAAAGTTCAGAGTCATATGTTAAAAAAAAAAAGAAATACTGTGGCAAACAGGCAATTCAGGTTATACTACATCAACTTGATATGTGATTATTACAGGAGACTTGTCATGCATGCTAGAGTGAAGAATGCAGTTGACAGGGTTATCAAACCAGATAATTTGATTAACCCAACTGAGGACTGGCCCAAGGGAGCCAATCACACACACCAATACTTTTAGTTGCAAACCATCATAAAAGTACAAATTAACTCCCCAAAGAAGCTCAAGAAGATGAAACGAAGCAGTACATATAATCACTCGTACATGTACATGTGAAAAAAAACACAGAAACAAGATGAAAGCAAAATGTACTGCGGTGTGAGAGAAGTTTAACATCAAATATGCCCCATTAAATAATTACCTGGTTGTCTAATGGAACGATCACTCTGTAAAACTACTTATTCACATGTAAATACAGTTGTCCAATTTTTCAGTTTAATCTTTAAATGCCAAGGCCAACTATGAATAACTATTGGTGGTTGCAATTTCAAATTTGAATATTAATTTTCATCAGACAAATTCTCAAAAATGTTAAAAACACATGAAACGCATAATAATACTACATTGTACTATGTTCTAATGTGTCAAATTTCTGCATTAATTTTCATGGTTATCCCAATGAACTTTTGTATTATCAAGAAATTTGAATTTTACATATTTATTTATTTTTTATGTAACAGAGAAGTGTGGGGGGGTCTAAAGTCAAACGTTCTTGATTATTACTCACAAGATCAAATACCCGGTAGTTTCTTTTCAAAAAGTAGTGATAACATATGTATAAATATTAATTTCACAGTATCCAATTTTATGAATATTCATTAGTCAGCTTGTCAGCTGCATATTCGGGAGACTTAAAGATCTCTTCTGTATTTTCAAAAAAACAATCAAGATACATATATTCAATACGAGTTTTTAATTAACATTATAAAATTAATCCTTTGAGTGCCAGATACATTTCCCACCCAAAAGTTTTCACGTTTTGTAAAATTTTCACTAATAAATTCTATCACTATATTGCTTTCAGTTTAAGATGAAAATCAATTTTATCAACATTTCTCAAAAAGAGGAGCAGTATAAGATAATTGTTTAGACGGTGCCAATAGTTGACAATGGTGCTCAAGGGATAACATTCCTGATTTCATCTTTTGAATATATTCAACATTCCTGATTTCATCTTTTGAATATATTCAACATTCCTGATTTCATCTTTTGAATATATTCAACATTCCTGATTTCATCTTTTGAATATATTCAACATTCCTGATTTCATCTTTTGAATATATTCAACATTCCTGATTTCATCTTTTGAATATATTCAATATTCCTGATTTCATCTTTTGAATATATTCAATATTCCTGATTTCATCTTTTGAATATATTCAACATTCCTGATTTCATCTTTTGAATATATTCAACATTCCTGATTTCATCTTTTGAATATATTCAACATTCCTGATTTCATCTTTTGAATATATCCAAAATTCCTGATTTCATCTTTTGAATATATTCAATATTCCCGATTTGATCTTTTGAATATATCCAACATTCCTGATTTCATCTTTTGAATATATTCAACATTCATGATTTCATCTTTTGAATATATTCAACATTCCTGATTTCATCTTTTGAATATATTCAACATTCCCGATTTGATCTTTTGAATATATCCAACATTGCTGATTTCATCTTTTGAATATATTCAACATTCCTGATTTCATCTTTTGAATATATTAAACATTGCTGATTTCATATTTTGAATATATTCAACATTCCTGATTTCATCTTTTGAATATATTCAACATTCCTGATTTCATCTTTTGAATATATTCAACATTCCTGATTTCATCTTTTGAATATATTCAGTATTCTTAATTTATATATTTTGCATTCATCCAATGGGCTTCTATGTAATCAAAAATGTATACAACAATGTATTGCATATACGCAGCACTTTCTTCACCATAAACTCGGTTTCCTATAACAGGATATGAGTAATATACACTGTGGTTTATTGTTACATGTACAATACATTTTATCTAATTTAACACTGGTGTTTTGCTAGATTAATACTTATTAGTGTCCTTAACCCATATACATGTACAGATTAAAAAAAATCGTGATATACACAACTTGCGCCCCTTGAAAGTGAAAGCCTGTGGTTATAATTTTTAACAGATTGCCAGAATCTGAATAAAACAAATATCAAAATTAAAATTTACAGCAATTTGTAGATTATTCATTAATGTAGAATTAAACACAGTGTGCTATATCATCGGAAAATGAAATTTTAGTTTCACTAAAAAAAATTCCATCACTATAAAATAGTAATTTATGCACATAATGTGGTTTTCAGCTGACTAATTTATGGGAAATCATTCCTAGATTTACCAGTATTGTAACAGTTATTTTGGTTGCTACATTACATGTAATTTTAAAGTCAGAATCAGGCCAGCATACATGATAACACATACCATAAATAGGGCCTCACAAGCGGTGTCAACAACATATTAATACAGTATATCTAAATGTATTAATTATGAGAGAATGTCTGACACATGACGTAAATAACGATTGGTTTATATAGACCTTAAAACATAATAAATTGATATGAATTTAATTTGGTAAATTATTGACACTTTTTTTTTAAGTCCATAACATTTATTTAAATTTAATACACACAACTTGCTACAGTAAGTGCTAAAACCACATGGCTGATACCATTCCGTTTTTAGGGGTGACAGGTGAATTATACATGTACACAATACAAGATATTATACATGCACTATACGTCACCAATACACTTATCACAACCGTTAACATGTACATTTTGTTTCACTGCTTTAACTGATCAACAATAGAGTTTATAATAGAGTAGAATTTGTTGCCTGCTATTTTATCCTTCTCTGCCAAGATGGTTTGTTCTGATAATATCAACTAAAATGACCTTGTATGCAAGAGCATAGAAATATATAGGTCACATGACAATTACACCATTTACCACTCAACTCATTTCATGCTAATTTTAGAAGTTAATTTCTTGACATACATTGTACAAAAGAAATTGAAATTGAGAAAACATTACCTATCAACATTGGATGCCCCAAGGACAAAGAATGATTATAATGAATAATAGTGTTATTAGAATGTGTGTTCAGTACGAAAAGCAATAACACATATTGTCCACATTTGGGAAAAAAATCATTCAATTCCATGAATAAACAAGCCATGCATGGCACAGTCGCCCGTTAGTTATCAAATTTAAGATATATAGTTTTGTTTAAAATAATATAGTTGGAACATAGACATGTCAGAGATATTGATCCCGAAGCTAATGCTTGATTATGTGATTTTTTTTAACATTAAAGTGGTTGACATTCAGTCATCTTGTATCTGATTATCAAACGAGTACTTGTCTATATTGAGAGGTATTGCTCTGGAACAGCATTAATTAAAACAAAATGGCCACTTGTCGGCCATTTTGAATACATCATTCTGTATATCAATGATGTACAATGATGTATATCATGATGTATAATGAATACATAAAATTTTAATATAATCCGTCACAGCATGTCACAGATATGGCAATAGAATAAAACAAAATGGCTGCAAGTCGGTCATTTTGAATCCCATTTGAAAAAAAACATGATGTGCATCAAGGTCCCATAATGTTCAATGTATGTACGAAGTTTGAAAAAAATCCATCTCTAAACGGCCGAGATCCGGTTCTGGAATGCCAGAAATGCTTGATTTCAATGATTTTTCAGTACAAAAATGGTCGCCGTTCAACTATCTTGAATCAGATCGTGGAACAAATTGATATGTGCATATATATATATATTATTATGTATGATGTATGTGTAAAGTTTGAATGTAATCGATCCAGGCTTGTCTAAGATATAGGTTCGGAAGCACACATGCACACACAGAGGTCAATCTGAACAAGAACTAACAATACACAAGTCATTGTATCATTTAAATAGTAAAATATATAATAATACCAATCCGGAATCAAAATTGATAGTTTACCGAATGTTTTCCACTTTTGTTAATCAAACAGGCTGCCCACTTTGACAAGCAAAAAAAAATATAAAATACAGAAATCACACAGTAGTATAACTGTAAATCATTTTAAAATTGAAGGAACAAATTTGTTGCTATGTTCAGTGACTTGCAAAATTCGTACAAGTGAAAATTTCTTTGTGAATTTTTGCAAAATGTTGTCTTTGCAATACTATAAAACCTCAACTCTTGAAAATTCCTAGAGGCGAAAATTAAATGGTTTGCAACATTACGATCATATTTTGTTGAAAAAAATATTCATCTTCTGAGTGGTTTTGAAAAGCTGGATCCTGACATGATTTAGATCACAGAGCTATCATTGTTCAGTTCTATGCTTTGAATGATGACGCAGACACCACCAATTATTCAGGATTATTATTTTGTGAAAGGTGACAACAGTTGGCTTTGACATTCAAACGTCAAACACAAAACAAGCCTTCTAATTGAACAACTATGTTTTCATGTGGACAACCAGTTTCTCAGAGTGGTTGTACCACTGGACAACCAGGTATTTTTATTTAATTTTGACTCCTGAAAAATAATGATAATGATATCAGCTATTTGCTAGTTCATTTTCGAACATGGCAGCCATCAATGAACTTATTTTGGAAAAGCATTCTTTATGTAACGATATATTTAAATATGACAATCGGCCATCTTCGACCAGATTTTGAAACAAATTGTCATGGACATGCATCCTAACATGTATAAAGTACATGTATGTGCCAAATTTGAAAGAAAACTGACAGAGCACGTCCAAGATACCGCATAAAAAAAAACAACAAGATGCCTGCCAGTCGACCATCTTTGATCCAATTGTGAAATAAATCGTCATGGACATGTATCCTAGCATGTATGATCTATGTACCAAGTTTGAATGACAACTGAAAAAGCATGTCCAAAATACAACATTTTCAAACAATAAGATGGCTGCCAGTCGGCCATTTTGAATCGAATCGCTAAACCACTGCATGTGCATATGTCCCAAATAGGGTACAAGGCAAATGCAAAGAATGAACGGAATCGGACGCACAGATGCATAGAGACCGAATTACAAGTCCCCGTTTTCGGACTTCGTCCGAACGGGGACTAAAAATAATACCCTGAATTTCAACAAACCTTTTTTGTCATTTGCTTGAACAATGGAAAATCATTACAAACCCAAGGCGTCTTATTATTTCATTTTTATAGATGATCACTTTTTATTTTCTTGTTATATATTCTAACTGGTTAGTATCATTCTGAATTTTCATATTTGGAGTGTTAATGCAGCAAAGTCAGCCTTTCAACCTGCCTATTTTTATTGATAACAACAATTTGAGATACAAACCAAATTGTACAGAAAAAAACAAAAAATTACTATCTTGGTAAAACAAGATCATTGTCAGTAGGCCATCTTGGATTTGATCTTAACAGAGACCAACTTTCAATGATGTGATAGAACACAATTCATCTTTTCACAATCAAATGGTTAGAATACCAATTCTCGTCCAACAAAATGTACTGAATACCACACAGTTATTTCAATTCATTGCATGGATCAATACCAGTAAAAGATTATATTTGAACCATTAATTAAGGAATATAAATGACAATTGGTATTGATTGGATTGTGACATGCAAATGTACGTTTTGCAGAAAACAATGTGAGTACATGTGTATGAGACAATCCCAGCTGGGGTATTGCCCTGTCTGCATGCATATATCATGTATCAGAAAATGCACTTGGTTTTCAAAGAGAAATATGCTGCAACATCTAGGAAAAGTACACCATGTTAGAGTATTACCACTTACGTCATTACGTCACTTTACATCAGAAAAAAAATTACGTACAATATGTAATATCATGGCATTATTTTAGTTCAACAATTAGACTATTGTCAAATATTGAATGTAAATTACTAAACGTTGCAGATAATTGAAAGTGTGTTCTTATTGGGAGATCATTACCATATATGGAGTCTGGTTGTCAGATGATAACTATATAGCTAGCAAGCTGGGTGAACAGAGGAATATCAATGTGTGTGAATCACCAAAATTCAATCATGTCTTCACACATTTGAACAGATTGTCAAAACCACCAAAGAATCTTTGATTTTTACCTAATTCAGCTAATTTTTATCTTGAAATTTATTTATTCGTGTTGTTTTTTCTACACATAACTTAATATACAAGCCTCTATTAAAGCTACATTAACAATAATGTTTGATTTCTTTCTTCTTCAAGCATACTACTATGCATAATTACATTTGAAATGAATAACACTGTAGTGTCCGTGATAGCAAGGCAAAGACATGTGCAATTAGTAAGAGCCGAGAGCAATGACATGCTCCAGTAACCTGCCATGCATGATACAAGTTTAGATGAGCCTGTCTGATGTTCAGAATTACATGTTCATGTGAATCCAATCAGCAGATACTGAGAGACAGAGAACAATACACACGAGCCAATTATAGTCATAATGTTATTATATATGTACATGTATGTATGCCAATACAAATGCAATTTAGTCTCTGAGTCTCATCTGTCACATTTAATACTACGGTAGTATTTTATACATACATTCTGTCATATGAGCTCTAAATAATTATAGGTATCAATAAATATCAGAGGTAACAAAATTAACTAACAACGATATTTAATATCTTTGCACTGGTATTCATTTTTATGATTTTTTTTGAGGGGAAAAAAAATGGTCTTGATTTGTTTTCACTGAAATTCGCATACAAACATATAATGTATCTTAAAACATGCAAATAATGAATAACACACACAGCTAGCACTATATACAATATATATATATATACTCGATATATATATCAGTGTTTGAAATTAGTGCCTGAGATTGGTAACTAGTCAAGCCAGATGTCTGGTAACCTTTTTTATGATCTGCTGCGATTAAAATTTTGAAAAATGCCTTTTTCTGGATAATATTATTGGATGAAGTTACGCGCTGTTTTCCTCAGATGATGTAACAATTTAAAATGGGACGTTTTAATTATGAATCAGACTTCTCGGATCTACATGTACCGGTACATGGAAGTGACAACACATTTGAAGGCGCTGACAAGACTCTCAAATATGTCTGCATGACAGATGAATTCTATTTTTTTTTTGCTGTCAGTCGTATAACAATGGTGTTTATGTAAACCAAAAGTCACAGAAAAATGAATGAAAACATAGACTTACCTCTTGTAATGGTTCATCTATGATGAAGGCTCCAGTTAATCTTTTGTCAATTTTATATTTGGGTTCTTTTTTTTTAACTTGATCTATCAACTAGAAATACAAATACAGGGAGGGACATTAAAAAAGTAGCAATTGACATTCACTAAATATAATAGTACCATAATATATTTATTACATACAGATTAAGCCTCAATTCTGCTATAACATCCAAAAGAACATTATCAAATATGCATATATTTATAATGATCAATGTTTTTATGGCACTTCATTTAATGTGCTTCAGCAACATACAATCATATACTATTACTGTAGTTTCAACATCAGTAATACATAAACATGCAGTCAGCTGTTTTGAATGCTTCTCTAGCTACATTCTCCGTCAACAGGACGGAGGGGGGGGGGCAATATTTACCTTCTGTATTCCGTGTTTGGTTTTAGGTAAGTGCCAGTCATCTGTGGTTAGATGTAAAGTTTTCTCTGATAAATAACAACCTTGTTTATAAGCTACCAAAACACACCTAAAATTTGTAGAATCGGGAAAAAAAAACGTGAAGTGTGTGTATCATTGAAATGTTCATGTGATTGTTGTTCTAATAACAAACTACTCATCAAAGTCTTGAATAGTTAGATACTTAATATGTGTATAAAGTACAATTACAAACATCAGAAAATTAAGTTTAATCTCAATCCACTCCTATTTTACAGTGAAAAGTCTACCCAAAGGAAATAAATATAAAAACTGTCACATATAGCTATCCTTATTATATCTTTTTTTTAATTTGATCTTTGCAGTAGATCAACATGTGCGTGTATGCAGACACACTGACTGAACACCAGCAGCCCCCTAGGTATTGACTGTGACAACATATGATAAATTACAAGTACATCTGTGTTTATGTTTTTATGCAAAATGAAATTTAATTAGTGTAATACACTTGTAATTCACAGCTGTACGTACTGCAAATATAAAATGACATTAATTTATAATGCATAGCAATCCTCACAGGAGTTACTCTAAGAATACTGATACATAAGGGTGATGTACAAAATCTCCATAATTCTTGTTAATTAATATCATCCCTTGAGTTTCTATGTGATTTGTATACAAGTACATGTATAGTTCCATAAGGTCAATGACATTGTATATAACAATGTACTGTATCGTAAAAACTCGATTAATTCGCGGTAGTAAAAATAATTATTTTTTCAAGTGCCCGAATTAATAGCGTAAAAACGGAAATTATTGGTTTTTGGTGTGCGAATTAAAAGAGTACTTTTAGATCGATTCAAAAAGGAGCTGTTTTCACAAATTTATTAGTGATTTGTTTTGTTTTCCAATGAACACGATGACAGGACATTGTTTTAGTGCCTCTGAGACTCGTGGCTAGCGACATTCATGGCGTATAGTCGGGGCAGAGAACACGCACTGCATCAAGAACCACGCACCATGTTACACTTGAAATGGAACAGTGAAATGGCAAAGGTCACTCTGTACACAAACAAACAATGAACACGTGGCTACAAAGTAGCCGTCTGGCTGCACTGCCACTGGCAGTACCGTCAGACACAAATTATTAATTGTTCAACAGGTTGTCGGCAGTGAAGCCGTCAAACCAATCACCATCTTCGTCGTCGTCGTTTAAAAGCAGATCGGCAATGATTTCTGCTATTTCAGTGTTGCTTCGGATAAGGTGGTCTTCTGCCCCGTTGATTGCATTTTTGTAGCCATGTGTTCATTGCTTACATGATTGTTTTTTTTTTGTCAAGCACTTTCATCTACCGGATGCGGCTGATACCCCACTCTGGGCGATCTTATGGAGGATTCGATTTTTTTAAAGTAAAATGTGGACCAAAAAATCGCCCGGGCGATGTTATGGCAGATATTACAAAGCCCATCTTGTCTGGAAAAATAACCCCGCGTTGATAAAAATGGTCTCAGAAAATGTTTAGAAAAAATAATGTTTCGCGTTGACCAAATATAATCATGCAAAGTATAAATTCATTGGTGAGAGGTCACATTTTACGTGAACAAGAACATGCACTAAGAAGGAAAAGCAAACCAAAGTCGAAACGGGGTGCATCATGGACATGACACAACACACGCTGCGACAACTGAGTGATCAGCGACATCATTTTGGGATGCAATTGAACTTCAAGTACTTCTTTGCGAAACTTGCTGCGCAGCGATGCTGACATCAAGTGTGTGTTGACCGAAGTTTGACTCCAAGTCACGCACTGAACTGGCGCGTTACCTTAGCAACCTTTTTCTTTCGTGCCCCGCGCCTATAAAATTATTATTATATCCGACAGTACTGTATCCAACTCTGTACTGGCTTTGAATATATCAACGTCGTTTACTTAGTGCACTGCTTTTCTAATTACGCAAACTTGTTTACAATATTGTACCAGCTCTGAATATTTCAACTTCGTAACGTATTGCTTTCATGCTATGATAATTAGTTTTTTTTCACTATTGTTTATTATAGGGCACTGACCCGGGGTATTGGGTCTGTGAATATTTCAATATCACCGACTTGATAATGCGTTGCATTCGTAATAATTATGCAAACATAAACATATCATACGTCAAATTAAATTTTACTATAATAAATTAAACTCTGGGTGGCGCACTTCAATCGCATTATTAACGTACATTTTGACTGAACTCTAATAAACATTCGTTTGAATTACGTGCGGCATTGGGCAATGACCACCAGAGTTCATGCACTGATATTTAAATTCGGGCCACCCAGCTTGACGCAAATCAATATAGTTACTTGTCATTTGTTCAAAAAATCTTTCAACTCTCAAAAATACCATGAACGCGAAGAGTTAACTGGGGGTTAAATGAAATGGAACGTCTTTTTTGGACAAAAAACACGTCAGTACAAGATTATGTGTGCAAGGTTAGATTTATAGAACGTATATGACTGCTTAACTCTGTGTTTTTACCGAATCCGGTATAATGAAAATGTGACACGGGGTCAATCGCCCGACCAAACAAAGACGTCAATTTATGCACCATAGGGCGGTTACGTCGATGCAACCCTGTGAACTAGTGACGAAAAGCCCTGTACTAAGCTTTCCATCACGGAAATTCGCAATCGATGTGCTGACCGATGGATATTTATCGAGTAAGCAATAAACTTGCCCAACATCTGTAGTGTCGTGGGGAAGTGATTTTTTTGCAGGTCAAATCTAGTGGTCTGAGCTTACTGAAAGGCTATGATGACGGAGATTGTCCGGGATTGCGACTACACCATGGCTACACCAAGTACTGATAACATAAAAACTCAAACAAAATGTATATTTTTAATGTCTTCATGCAATATATTCTGAACTATCCACTTTATTCTGGCCCGCGAATTAATAGGATACAATTTTAAACATGTTTTTGAACGCCGCAAATTAAAAGGATACATTTAAAAATTAGCGTTCGAAAATAAAATGGGTGCACGAATTAATAGGGACCACGAATTAATCGAGTTTTTACGGTAGTCAATGAAAATGATCATTTAGAGTTAAAAATGATTGTCAATCTTATTGAACTCTTGGTAACATATTTGATGTGTTGAAAAAAGATTAAAATTTGTATATTTTTAATTTGTGCTCTAACATTTTATCAAAACATAGCAATAGCATTACTGTCACATTCAAGCAATTTAGAAAAAAAGTGGTTGTTAATGTGACATCATGATCCTGATCCTACCAGAGATCGCAACACATCAAAGACGAACTTCAAACTTGTTTTTACAAACAACAAAGAAAGGCAAAGAATAAAACATGCTTTATTTAAAGCAATGAATAAAGATCAGAACATTTCCCCAGTCAACAAGGATAGAATTAGAAAGCATTGCATTGACAGCTTGAATGACTTCAGTGCCATGTTGTTGAAAGTTCTATCGCCACTATATGTAAGGATGCCATGAATAACCTGATGCATGAATTCATGTCTTTCATTGGATAGCTGCTTCACCTTGCATGTGTCAGTAAAAGCTCAGCAGATTAAACAATCAGTGTGTTATTTTGAATTCAGATTGCATCTAAATTATCCTATTGGCATTACATAACAGATTTTTTGAATGTCCATCTTAACTTGTATATCACAGGGTACATTTTTGTCAGAATTGCCTACTTTCTACAATACTTCATCAAACCAACACTGTCATTCATTGAGTGCATGAAATTCTCAATAAACCTGTTGATGCCGAATTGCATTATAATTCACGCTTTTGAAAAAACAATTATTTCACAACAACATTATTTTTCTACCAAGAGATCACCCAGGTGCTGAAACATCACCAATGAGCGATCTTTTGCAGTGAGTGATCTTTCAGATAAATATGCATGTAATGAACTATGAGAATCGTGTAAAAAATATAAAAAATACTCACGTAATTAGGAATATCGTCAAATAAAGTATCAGATAAACTGGAGCAAACAAACCAAAGGTTGTAAAAAATAAGATGACAGTAAGTATACCCCAGCCATATGTCTTCACCTCATCCTGAAAAATATAAAAAATGTTACGATAAAACTCCTGTAAATAGTCATTCAGGGCTTGAATTTCAGAGTACAACAGGCAAGGCAAAATTTGATAAAATTGCTTCAGTTAACATAAAGGGGTACTAGTAATGCATGGATTACCATACTTGCTTTACTAAAAGTGCATCTCTACTTAGAAGCAAAAATAAACCAAAAATTGCATATACTGAACACACCTCTGTCAATTACGCAAGCACATGTTACATGTAAGTGAATAAAGAATCAGTATTCTTTGAAGGTTACCAAGGCATCTAGACAATTGCCTCTGATGCCTCCTTAGGTGCAAGATAGCATATGTGTGAGAGCTTGACAACCAGTAAACATATGTACAATGCAAATTATCTCTGCTGCATTAACTATATGTATCACCTGAAGGCTCTGCATACTAGATGTTTCAGATCTTTTTTTTTCAGTGCTAAAACCATACACACCTTGTACGAGTACTTGTACATGATCACAAAGAGTGGCATGTGCATCTTGGGAAGGTAACTACTAGTACCAGTAAACAGAAACGAAAGGAACCACATATGAACATTTCAGCTTGAAACATTACAGTAAATAGCTACTCCAAACTTGTCGGCTGAGATGCAACTAGCAATGCTATTAGCAAAGCACATTTTAATTAGAGAATTAAAGATATCATAATGAAATGAAATAAACAAATCAGAGATTGGTCCACCTGTGCCTATTATGGATAATATCAAAGCAATCAGACTTGTGGTTTTCAAGAAGAAGTCCAAAAATGACAAAAAAATATTCATCAAAATTAGAGAATTAAAGATATCATCACAAAATGAACAAATCTAAGAGAGGTCTACCCACGGTACATATACACCCATAAACCAAGTATCAAAGCAGACCTGTGGTTTTCAAGAAGGAGTCAAAAAAACGAAAAGTTGACGTGGACAATAGGCAACAACGGACAATCATAATAAATTAATATGCTCAACAAAGTCTAAGCCAAAAAAATTATTCGATAGCATGGGTAGCCTAGATAAGCAACACATTTTGGGAACTGGTAGTTACATACATGTAGTCCATCAGCTTTTGTTGGTATTTGCATAATTGTCCTCTATCTCTTGGTCTGGGGTTCAATTGAACTACATATCGGCTGTAGACAACATGGATTACAGAGAACGCAAACATTAGAACCAGTCTGTCCTGGAATGAGTCATACTAACAGCCTGTTGTAACCCATGCTTCAATTCAAAGCTGTGATTCACATTGTAGATCTATATATGTATGTGGGCCATGTGAGGTAATGCTGGGTTTATCACCTGATAGTGACACCAAATACATTAGGTGATACTGTACTCCCAAAGAAGAGAGCTGGTTTCACACCCGTGTTTTTCATCATATTTGAAACCTCAGATGAACCACAAACATTGGCAACAGCAGAAACTGTCACTACTAATTTTTCCGTGGTTCTGTGTTTAGAACAACTTAAATTAATTTACAACTGATTGACTGTCAACCATAACATACACCACCATGTGATATTATAAAATATGAATCTCCGTCATTGATGCCAACAATCAAAATTAAAGAATGTCAGAGAAAAAAGAAAGTACAAAACCAAATTGGTTGCTGGTGGATGACATGTTGAAATTTTATGATTTGAGGTTTTTTGTATGAAAATGACAACCTGTCAGATAAATTTGATATAAGAATAATCCATTTTGTCTTGCTTTTGGATAAAATTCAAACAATATCAGTGAAAGTACATCTGAAAAACAGGAAGTCATTTTTAGACAATAATCACCCCAGTTGCAAATGTACATTGTATATCATTATGTATTGTCTCTATACAAACAGAATCCATACATAAGTCGAATAGGAACAAATAAAATCAAAGAAAGCTTAGAAAGAACTCCCATGTGCTGAGAGTATTGGAGACACATTAAATATAATTCGAAATTACTTAGCTGAAAACTAATTATGCAAATCAGAAAATTAATATGACCAGATTTGAGTGTAAAACTAATGAGGTCTGCGCAATGTAACAGAAAATCTATGTCTCCAAGTTTAATTGAAATGTGATTAGAACCAAAAAATTATGAATTATTATGCTTATTAGGGAATTAATATGAACAGATTTTTACCCCAAACTAATTAGGTTTGTACATTGTCCTA